TATATATATATATATAGAATGCAAGGTCACATTTATTATTGTTATTTTTCAATAATGCAGTCCTTTGGTTGCTTCCATTTGGTTTTGCGCCCTATTTTCTATCATAGTGATAGATACAACAGAATATCTTGTAACCAAAAGTGTTGAAAAAACATAATAATATTGTTTTTATTTAAATTTTTTACAATACTTTTTTCATAATATTTATTATCTTTTCACTATCTCAGTCACATTATTTGTTTTATATATTGCACAATTCAAAATTGATATATATATATATATATATATATATAACTACGTTTTAAACAATTTTTTTTCTTTCTCTTCTAAAAATATTTTTGTTTTTAGTTTTATCTTTGGGTTAAGTAGTCATTCTATATAGAAGATAGGATGTTTGGAGGAAACTTATTTAGGAGAAATCATATAATCACCAAAAATGGAAAACTTGAGCAAACATCAAATAATGACAAATATTTTATACAAACGCTCTTTATTTTGTGTGGATACCTTTGTATTGAATGTCGATGAAAGTACTTTCACCGTCACATAAATCTCTAGGTCTGGGGCATTTGGTTGAGATGATTCTAACATATCTCTAAATGACTTTTATGATCATGCTAGAAATACTGATATATTATGTGTGGAATTTGTTGAAAATATAGATCTTATAAGGGAAGTTGAATAATATCGAATAAAAACTCAACATTTTTTCAAAAAAATAAAGTAGTATTAAGACCTTAAAAATGCAAACAAATAGTTAAAGGCAAAAAATATATACTCTTTTTATATTGGTTTATGTCAATCATCAAGACTATGTTTAGTTATTAATCAACTTAATTAAGTTTCATTATTTTTTTTACAAAGATACAAGTATTATTTCATAAGGAACTTCTAACAATCTAAATATTTTTTTACTTTTCTCTTTAAGCAACTATTTAAGTATTCTTTGAATAACGAAGTCTCTCCAAATTTCAACAATCAAATATTCTTTACAACAAAACTTCTTCAAGATTTAAGCAATAACTCAAAGATAAAGTTAAAAAAATCACTTGTTGTTTTGTCTTACTTTCGATACGTTATTCAATCAAATTAAGTACAAAGTTTTACAAAAATAATGAATGAAGTTTTTAAAAAAATGTTATTCTTTGTTCTTTTTGAGTCTTCAAAATTCTTTGTATAGGTGCTTGAAAAAGGTGATCGTTGCAAATCCTTAAACACCTATTTTCATCTTCCTTCCTCGTAGAGAGAAGTGTGTGTTGGTGCATTAAATGTAAGCATTAAATGTGTTTCACCAAAATTATCAGTTCTTATCTAATCAAAGATGTTACTTATCATCTTTAAGGTACCAAACATAAGTAATTGTTGTGTGTGCCAGTCAAAAATGACTCTTTTTAAGACATCGTATATTTTAGGGGATTTGCTTGTCATTTATCTGACGGAAAGCATGTATTCGTTCCCTTTTGAAGTGCAAGTACTAAAAAAAATTTATTTCTTTTAATTTATTAAGGAATATCATAGACAAAGATGATTAGGTTATTAAACATATATGATAAATAATATATATCAAATGCATTTGTCTTACACGGACAAAGTGATTCATTTGAAAGACTATGTGTCATAATAACCAATCATCTACTTTAATTCGTCTTTATAATATGATTTGAAAAACATTTATCTGATGAAAACATCTAAGTTTGTTAACATTAAAACTAATATCCTAAGGGATATAAGATCATCTTTTGATCTAACATGAAGATCATGACCTTACTTAATGGGATTCGAATGTGTTGGGATATGGGAATATGAAAGTTAGTGTGCTACTTGGATTAATTCTTCAACAACAACCCACTTACTAAGCCACAAGATACCATGAACTTATGTAACAATCAATGAAATATTCATCATAAGAACTTTCATGGCCAAAGAGCAAGAGTTCAACCTCCACCACGCGTATCGAGATTGCAACCAATGCGTTAACATACTAGATAAGCTTTTAGTAACCATCAACCTCTTGTGTATTTGGATGAACCTCTAGCATGCATGACTCCTTTGCTATTTGTTGATGCAATAGAAACTAATTTTGTTACGAATTAATCTTATTTTGTGTTGCTCTTTATCTTTGTTTCTCCTTTTGCTCTTGTAACAGAAAAAAATGTTTCATATAGTCACCTTCATTAACAAAATTCATAACATCAACCCATGCATCCATGACTAGGTCCCATTTGTTCGTTGGTTAAACTATCAACTTACATTTAGCTTTCATATTCTTGTTGATATGAAAATGATATAACTAATTAAAAGAGCTTGAAAACATCACTTGCATTAAACATCATCTTTATTAGTTACAATCACTTGAGGTAACTCATCGTCATTGATAATCATTTGTAATATTACATAATTAGGACTTAAAAAATAATGGATATGAGAGTGAAAACAAGAGTTAGAAATTAAGTTTTTGAGAATAAATAAAATACCAGGATATAAAGATAATATTTAAATTATAATAAACATGGAGTGAAAAAATATAATTTGTAAGGATATATTTAGTAATAAAAATACAAAAAAAAAAGGAAAGGAGATGTACTTAGTGTATGAGTGGTGTAAATAGAAAAAAGCCTCAAGATCTATACATGGTAATTGTTATTTATATTTTTTTACTAATGCATTTCTTTCTTTATTTTTGTATATTTTTTTTTTCATAAATTAGTTCTTGAAATTGTTAAGACTTAACTTTCAAAATGATAAATTGGTAACTAATTTTTGGAAGTCAATCTCAACATATTATTCACTATAACTTTTTATTGCAATGTGGAGTCTATAATCACCACCCATGATCTTTACTTTAATAATGTTTGAGATCAATTGTCAAAATGACAAAAATTATTATTTCACATTGACATGTGTTGAAAACACTAGCTTTGACAATTTTAGTAAATCTAAAAAAAAAACACTATTAAGAAATGGTTGACCCTAAAGGCTTTAGGGGTAACAACTTAAGAGAATGGGTTAAACGAATGGACTAACTGGAATAAGCCTATTTCTTCACCAGTCTCCATGAAATGAAATTGCATTGCTCTCTTATTTAATGTAAGATCATAGGATACTCTTCAACCCATTCAATTTAATACAATTTGTGATAATTAAATAAAAAATTAATAATTGAAAAAACAGAGAATCCAAAAAGTAATGTTTTTAAATTAGAATAGATCAAAATTTGGATCATATGTTTAAAAATGGACCCAATCCAGAATGAATTAGACTTTGTTGTGTATTTAAGATTATTCAATTAATGGTTTCATATTTTGAATTATGATATAATAACAAGGTCTAATCCGATTAGTAAATAATTAAATTTCTTAAGCATATTGACAGCGATTGCTAGTCAAATAAAATCTACTTAAACATTCTCTAAATCTTAAAAAAGAAAAACTAGTTTTAGACAATCATTCAAAGAATATCTTTAATTAAAAAATATATAGATTAATTAATGTATTTTATTATTTATTTTAGTATTTATAGATTTTTAAAAACCAATAGTTAATGTAATTCAAACCAAAATAAACAGAATTGAATAGAATTAGATTTAATTTTAAAATAAAGTCAATTAAATAACAACAAATAAAAAAAATGTCTGAATTGCACGATCTGTGGTCGAATCCACATACACAGTATATATATTATAAGGCCAGGCGATGGTTCTGTCATATGTGATTAAGTTGGTCATAGATCATGTCATATCAGAATCAGACAAGGCATTACCCACTTATTATTTGCTCAAATAAGTTTAATTAATATTATTTCAAATTTTATTTGGTTTAGTTATAACAATTAAACTTTACGTTAGATAAAGTATATTAAGTCTAGTTAAATACCTTAATAATGAAATATAAATATTATTTATTATGATTATATACGTTTTTATAGTTATATTTAAAAGTTACATATCATTTATTAAGTTTTTTGATTCACAAGTTTGTATAAGTTTTAAACTCGTTAATATATGTATATATAAAAATAAAAATCTTATTAGTATAGATCAAACTTTCAAATAAATAAAAATTCAACATGAATCATTTTGTTTGAGAAAAGTTAAAACACATAAAATAATGATTATATATTATTAGTGTAAAAACTTTTTATACCGACAATCAATTATACTTTTTATTAATAACATGTCAGTTACTTATTTAATAAAATAATAATAAAAAAAATAATTTAAAAAATATAATTGATTATTAATATATTAAAAGTATAAGGATGATTAACTCTAAAATAATTAATAGTTCCCAAACTTAAAGTTTAAGTTCCACCCCTGCTTACAGGGCGAAACAAGGAACTGTGTTCTGTGTCTTTTTATTAATTTATTATTGTTTTTTGAGGGTTGGGTTGGGGTGTCAAATTAATAATTAATAGTAATTAGTAATCTGAGTATGGGAGGGTTGTTCAGCCGCTGAAGTTGTCGTCTTTTAGATAATTAGGGTTTTATTCTGTTGCAGACAGTGGTTGAGAATCACTGCTCAAAAAGAATAATAATACCAAATCCCAACCGGATAACGAGTGTGGAATTTGGAAGCTTCACTTCTTTTGCTTCATACCCTTTTCCTTTCTCTCTCTTCACTTATTCTCATTGTTTAGTTACCTACCATGAATCAAAGTCAATGACATCTTTCGCTCCATTTTTTTATTTGTTTCCAACGCAAAATTTTTGATTTTTTTGGGCTCAATAGTCTCCCCCCAAAGGGTCTGTGAAAAATTCTATTTTTTGCTTGGAGTTGTGAAAAAAAAAATCATTTTTTAGATCGATTTGTTGGTGGGTCATGCTGGGGTGTTGTTAATTGTTGTGTGGAAACCTCGGGTGATTTGTGTGGAAAATGGGGGATCAGGGTGTTTTAGGTGTTAATGTTGGGAGGGAGGAAGAGGAGGATGAGTTTTGTAGTTGTTGTGGAGATGAAGATGAGGAGGTGTGGAAAGAGACTGAGGAGCCTCTGGTGGAAGGATTGAAGGATGATGAACTTGATGAATTTTCAGTGAAAATGTTCTTCAAGGGGTTGTCAATGGCTGGGGTTGAAAATTCAAGTTCTGGGTTTTCTGGGATTGGAGTGGTCATGGAAAGGTCACCGGACCTTCCTGCTTTAAGGGTGCAGAAAAAGCTTGACTTTTATGCAGAGGAGTCAGTGGTTGACTATTTGGCACTCTTGGATGGCTTGCTGGAAGCTGTGCAGAACAAGATCCGCAGGGTTTATGCTTTCACAGACTCTGAGTTGTTGCACGATCAGGTTGGAACTTCAGTGTTTAGTGTTAGTATTTGTTTGTTTTATGATATGGTTATGATCTCAACATAAATTGATGAAGATCCAGACTATCACTTGTATGAAACTTTTAGCTAATTAGCAGTGTCTTTTGTTGAAGTATTGCCTACTTTCTTTTTTCCGCCAATTGTTTAGGCAATCTATGCTTCTCTGCTAATGTTTCCTTTTGTGGATGAACACTGAGATTAGTATTCTTGTGTATACTTTAAGCCTTGTGCTGTTGTTGGATTTGGACCAAAAATCATATGGTTTTTTCATTTCTTAAATTTTTATTTTCATATTGTTCTATCATGTCTGTTATTTTCTTCTCAGTATCCTTTATTTGTTTGGGTGTTCTTTTTGTTTTTGTTAGTTTAGTTTGTATGCAGAAAAGTTTTGAGGTTTGTTCTAGTAGGCACACCATGATTCAATTTGAACGGATAAGTTACTTTTTCCCATAACAGCTAAAAAAAGGTTGACTTTGTTATTTTTCATGCATGTATAAGACATTTTGAATTTAATGGGAATGCTTTGTGGACTCAGAGGATTGAGTTTACCTCTGAAATATTAATGGATAGCCTACATTCCAAATTTGTATTAAAAATACATTAATTGACATTACTTTGTCATGTGCAACTAACCTCTAATATTCCTTTAATGTGTATATGTGGGTAATTCCCAGGTTACCTTTCTTTAACAATCCTTTCTTTTGAATGTGATTATTTTGACAGATAACATTTGGGAAAAAAATGGAGATGCCTCTTTTGATGGCACTGAGAGAAAGGATTCTGGAACTTGCCAATAATTTTGAAGATTTTGTTTTGAAGCATATACCCTCTACTGATCTTGACCAGCCACTGCATTTGGCCAAAGTAGCTATTGGTCTTGTCACTTTCCCTGTAAATGGTGAAAGACTGCTTAAGAACTGTTCTATTTGCTGTGATGACAAGCCAGTGCCAATTATGATTATGTTGAAATGTTCACACACATTCTGTTCACATTGCTTGAGGGCCTATGCTGATGGTAAAGTTCAATCTTGTCAGGTCCCTGTAAGATGTCCTCAACCAGGATGCAAGTATTGCATCTCTGTAAGTGAATGCAGATCTTTTCTTCCATTCACCTCCTTTGAATCACTGGAGAAAGCTGTTTCAGAAGCAAATATTGACCATTCAGATAGAATTTATTGTCCATTTCCAAATTGCTCTGTTCTCCTTGATCCTCATGAATGTTTATCAGCTAGGGCCAGTTCATCTAGTCAGTCTGACAATTCTTGTATCGAGTGTCCTGTTTGTCAGAGGTTTATCTGTGTAGACTGTAAGGTTCCTTGGCATTCTTCTATGAGCTGTGTAGAATACCAGAATCTGCCAGAGGAAGAGAGAGATGCTTCTGACATTACCTTGCATCGTCTTGCTCAGAATAAAAGGTGGAAGCGTTGTCAGCGGTGTCGTAGAATGATTGAGCTTACTCAAGGCTGTTACCACATGACATGCTGGTAAGATACAAAATAGTTTTGATTATTTTTATTTATTTGATTACGTAGTCTAATATTGCAAACCTGAAATATATTAAATTTATTGAGTCAAGCTATATATTGAAAGTGGAATTCCATATAGATATATCTATTATGGAAATTTACATGTTAACCAGTGAGAGATCTACCTATTTAAAATTCTGCCACATGCAAGTTCTGTTCATGAAACTTGTGTAGGCCTTAATTGAACTTCAGTTTGAGAGTCAGAACATTTACCATTTAAATGTATTGTAACCTTAAACTAAATAAAGACTCTGATAAGTTTCTAAGTGGTAATATTCAGACTCGGGATAGTGAAATTGGTTGATGATATGATCTCACTGAAATGATAATAGGTCAAAGCTCAGAGTAGATAAAGTATATAGAATTACTTGTCCTGAACATATTCATGTTGATTCCCCATGTCTGTGTACAATTTAGACATCAATATTAGTTTCAGCTTTCTCTATAGTCTATTCAATGTAATCTATGATCTGATGCTGCAGATTCAAACTGATCTGGTGCTCTAGGTAACTAGTAGATAATGGATGCTAGAATGGTATATTCTTTGAGCACGTATTAGGATGATAAATTTCTTTTTCTTATTTAGTAAATGTGAAATCAGAATAGAATTATAGAACTGAAGAAACAAAACTAAAACCCCTTTGTCTCTCTGCAATATAAAATGAATGTATCTGTTGAAACAATAGAAATGTAGATGACAGATGGGTAATTTGGTTGTGCCAGATGGCAATAGAGGAGGGATAAAATGAAATTGATTTTAGTATAAATTAATCTTTTACTATGTGTTTCTTGGCATGTTTAATGCTTCCGAAAATCATATAATATGAATTGGCTTGCACAATTACTAAATTTTCCTACAGTTGGGAATGCAAAAGGACGGACAACTAAGCAAATACCTTGGTGGGTAGAAGGGATCAGCCCTGGGCACAGAAAGGGGTGGTGTCGTAAGATTGGGAAATAGTTTTGTGATCCAAAATTTCTTATAGAGCCTTTAGAAATTAGAAGAGCAAAGCTGAGTTCTGCCATGAATTTGAAGGAATTGTTCTTAGATAATCTTCTATTTGAGTACATTGTTTTATAAGTTTTATTTGTGTAGGACAGGTAATATGTGGGCTTGTGATGGACTGTGCATCAAAGTTGTAAATTTTTTGTTTTTGTCTAACTAAACAGTTAGTCCTGAGCAAAGGGACTTGCAGACAAGTGGCAGAGGACTGTAAGTTGAATCAGGATTATATGTTTAAGATTCCAAACCCAATCATTGGTAGCCCGGCTGAAATTAAACCAATTGATTCTAAAGTATCTAGGGAGCAGAGGATGATTAGATATTGAAAACTTCAGTGGCTGGGGTTATGTGGGGCCAACATTGACGAAAATATTCCAAAATCCAAATTTTTAGTGTAATCGAGAAGAGAAAAACATGAACTTTTGGAGCTTTTCTGGTCTGAGTAGTGTTTCTTTTCAAGATTGTAGTGTGGGAATTTATGGGGCTCTTAAAAATTTCATAGCGAGTTTAAATGGTAAAGAAAATAATGTAGCATATGACACTGTTTGGATATGAGCAGTCCTGGCATCCACTTGTGGCAAGTAAAGAAGTGGAATGAAGCATAGAACACTTGCTATCCATGCTAGTTAAGCACTTAATTTCCCTTCATCAAATTAAGCAGGCCAAACTCATCAAATTAATATTTTTAATCATCTAACATTGTAGCTAATTACAATTATATTGGTGAAGTTTTATTTGCTGTTGAATAAGAGAAAGTGAGACACGAATATAAATAATGGGACACTTTTAAAACCAAAATGGAAACTCTGTCTGTTAAATGAAAACTTTGGAGAAACCCTAAAAAACAGTAGACTTTGTGCTCAAAAGTAGATCACGTTGGACCTTTCTCTTTGGCTTTATCTAGATCTTTCTGCCGGTATGTAGCTCATCACAATCAACATAGCCCTATGGCCTTGTGATGGTGGGCTGTCAATTGTGTGCCCCTTTCTGCTTGCTTGAATGATTAACCTAATCTGTGGGCCTTTTTCGCTTCCCCTTCATTCAATGAAAGATGGTAGTTGGAGATGTTTGAATGGCTTGGTGATCAATAATAATGCTGTAACTGACCAAACAAATAAATGGATTATGTATATAAATTGTAACACTGGCTCAAAACAATAGAGTAAACTATTACTCATATATCAACTGGGTACTCGAGTACCCAGGTCAAATCTAGACCAGTAAAATTTCCTCACAGCTCAGTTTTGGTGCCTATGCTTGAATGATGTGCAAATTATTTGTTGCACATTTTTCCATGAAACATACCATATTGTTACAAAATTGTTGATAGGATATCAAGTTCCATATTGATATTAATAAGATTAATTTTTGGTTAGAACTTAGAACTACTACTATTGTCTTCCATTTTATTTGATTAATTTTCTGTATGGATTGGTGTGTATGTTGGTATTGCCATCTTAGATCTAAAATATGTTGTATGTTTAGGTTAATAATGGTATGCTAGATTATTCAAAAGAAAGCCTTACTAGGAAGGACATGATGACTAGTTTATCTCTAAGTTCTGTTATAGCTTAAGCTTTTCTAATAGTTTTCTGTTCTCCTCTTCATTTCAGGTGTGGTCATGAGTTCTGCTATTCTTGTGGTGCCGAATACCGAGACGGGCAACAGGCATGCCAGTGTGCATATTGGGATGAAGATAACTCTGAAGACTCAGTGGCGCACTCTCTTCAAGAATCAGAACAATGGGCATGGGAGACATTCAATTCTCTGTCCATGATTGTTGATGCATACTCTGACCAAGAGCGATCGCAGCTTGCGCTAATTCAAAGGTTCCTAGCTGGTGGTTTCAGTCTCAGTGACCACAATCCTTACCAATCTCCTCCACGCTGTACAGACTCCTATGTAGACCCCATGAAGGATCTACATCAACTTCCATGGCTAGAGAGATTTGTTTCTGTCATAAGTGACAACTACTATGAAGATTACATTCAGTGAAAAACTGTGATAGATCATAGACTACTTCCTAATAAGTTTCATAAACTTTCAATCTCAAACTAAGTTTTGAAAGGATGCAGAAAGAGTTTGTGACTCTGTCCACTTTTTTTCATCAAGAGCTGTAGCAACATTTACATCATGGAATTTCTTGTATGTTCCCCTCTTGGATACCTTTAACCTAAGCTCTATCAAGGTGAAGAATATGTCACGATGATTCTCTTTATAGAAAGGAAAAAAAAAAAAAAAACAAAGGAAATTTGGTAGTGAAAACAATTTGCTTGTGGCTGGGAAGAATACCATGTTAATTGAAAGAATTCTGGATTTTTATTTTGGGTCATACTACCCTTCCCTATTAGCTTATTATTGCTAGATTGAATTGCTTATTAACATGATCATCAATCATTTATTAAACTAATTTAATTATTTGAGGAGAGGATGCAATGATTTTCCAATCGAATTATAGATGTACATTATAGATGACTCATCAAGAAAGAATCTTATGAAGAGATGAAATGCAGGTTTGGTTTAAGTAAATTTTTTTTTAATATTTTAGTCTTATTAAAATTGCATGGCCGGAAATTATTTACACGGTGTTGTAAAGTCTTAATCAAGGAACCTTTCAATAGTGTCATTGTAGAAGTTCTAGCCCAAAGGATAAAGATCAAAAGGTTTATTGGTTAGGCTCAGCCTAGTTGGGAGATGCTACCAAAAAGCACAAGATGGAAAATGTCCAAAACAGTAGTCCACGTATGTTTTAAAGTTTGAGCAGAACATTCACGTTTTTAGCGTAGCCTGTGTTTAAAGTTAAAAATTAGCGTGTGATAAAATGTGCAGAATTTACTTGGAACTTGATTGCATTGAAAATATGTGCATGGACCTTTCAACCATACCAGCATTATTTTACCAAAATGTGCGTATGGCAAAATAGTTTTTCCACTTGCGTTTTGAAGTTTGAATGGAATTATGAGAAATTTTTATTATTTTCTATCGAATATAGGAAACTTTATTTGCATTTCACTTTCTCAAAAATGATATGCAAAAATATATTATTCTTAGTCAAGATTTTAAACTTTGTTTTTGGTAGCGATTGCATGCATTGCAAGTCAAGATTTTGTTTTTGGTTTTCCATTTTTATCATAATTTTTTTTAATGTGTGAATATGATTCTTAAATAATAAAATATTTAATTTTTATTTGAAAAAATATTTAATCAATAAAAAATATTTCAAAAATATTAATAAGAAAATTTCGTAGTTTGTTGTTAATATATCATCTTTCAATATTTTTAAAATCTTACCATTATATTTTATAATTAAATTTTTTTATCAAATATTTTATAATTATTTAATCAAAATTACATAATAAAATTAATTATCACTGAGTATTTTTTAATAGTTTTACTCAACTTATATTATATATTTAACGATATACTATAGAGTTTATTTTTATATGAAATTCTATAATATCGGAGAATCACCAAAGATAACTAATTTTGCTTTCCTTTTTGCATCCCTTTTTCATATTCTACTGTGATTATAAGCGTGTTTTGATACAACAGAAACTCTTTTTGAAGGTTTTTTCATTGAAAATAAGAAGTATTTTTAGTAAAAAATTTCTTAAAAAACACCTTTAAACTTGTATCTAAACATGTTTTGTATATGTTCCAAAATACTAATAATAGTAGGTGCAAGATCTAAAAAGATGGGCGAAAGAAGCAAAACCCGAACTTTGATCTCGACTGACCTAATATCCAGAATGGTCCAAAGACACCTAAGGATGTCGGCCCAACAGTACTAAGTAGGCCCAATAACTTCCTTAAAACTTGCATTTATACACAAGGTAATAGAACTCCAAAAAAATCACGTAACTGTGTCAGGAAAAAAGACCTAGTGAAGGTACACACTATTCTTTTCTCATTTCTTGACTTACTTTTATTGATTTGAACTCATAGCCCTTAAGATAACACCTTAGCCATTGTTGACTTGAGGAAACTCACCACAACACTTCTTGATCTAGTGGAACAACAAATTCTTTTAATGAATTACTCGTTAGGAACTATAAATAGGAGTACAGCAAATCAGCAATCTCTCAATCACTAATGTTAGTTCCACTAATGAGTGGGTGACATAAATGACCAACTCCAATTATTATATACAGTGTAACCCAAAAAATAAAGTGTAATTTATCCTGCGAGTTTGTCTTTTATCTTTTATTGACCATAACATTATACATAACAAGGATTGTCATTTAGATATTTGATTCAGATTTAAAATACCTTTATATTGATTATTAGTAGCAAAAGTTGTGATATATGGATATTTAATTGAGTTGAATTGAAAAATTGATTCAAGTATTGTGGGCATGTTTGAAATGAAATAACATTGGATTGGAGTAATAATTGAAATGATGGGTGGGAAGGGATGATTAATCTTGAAAGATAATGTTGACGTTGGAGGCGCGTGTAATGTGGAATGAAGTGATGGGTCTCAACTCAAAGAAGAAGAAACAACTAGGAAACGTGGCGGAAACATGATAAGACCCAACCCAACTAGTCCAATTTCAATCCTTTCAGACAACAACATTGCTTCACTGTTCCAAACGTTGATTGCTATTTAAGGTCAACTTTTCAATGACTTCGTTTTCTTCTTTTCCATTTATATTTTCTGTCATGTGACGTTGATTCTTTTCCCTCTTTTATTTATTTGTTTGTCTGTAGATAGTGTTGTCAATTTTCCTCTTAGCACGTTAAGGCAACCGACATCTACATTTTTTAATTCTTGTCCTTCATCGGGCAACTAGTAATTTTGTCTTGTAATTAAACCTAAGCTTTTCCTTACCTTTTTTATTTTTTTTGGTCATTCTCCAATTTAAGGTTAAGTTTGCATGTTCTAGATCTCACTCTAGGTTTATATATTACTGTTGTGAGGCACACGGTTGTGATAAGTGTGTCGGAGAAACAATGGCAAGCTCCCTATCATCACGCGATCTGCTGCATCAAGATGATCACATGTGAAACTCAAACTGTCAAATTTCACATTTCTTCACTCATCTTTTCTTCAACTTAATTTTTAAGGCTTTAATATATCTGCATTGTTGTATAAGAAATTTTCTAGTATCCATTATATAATCTTTAGTGTTAAAACACTTGAACACTTACTATATAACTATTATGATTGATTCAGTGGTGATGTAGAAATATTATATACATATTTTTAATTCAAACTTTGATATTGTAATTTTAATGAATAAAAAAATATTTAGTATATAAAATTTCCCATAAAAATTAGTTATTAACAATAGAGCACTATCGTTTAAAATAAATAATAATAAATAAAAAACAGAAAGAGTGGAGGACTATGTGATCAAATATTCTACCGAATATTCCATACAACCTATAATGTGAGACTTAGATTCTATAATATCTAATAACTTATATATCACACAATATATTTATTTTTAAGTTTAAATTCACTTTTAATTTTTATAATTTTGTGAATGTGCAATTTTGATCATATATAAGAAAAAAGATTGTTGTAAATTTGGTCCTTATAATTTTAAAATTAAGTAATTAACATGACATCTAAAATTAAATAAAAAAGAATGATATGTCTGTGAATGATATTACAATACAGACAAACAATTATTTAGATACATAAAAAATTAATAGTATAAGAATTTATAAAAGAAATATTTTAATATATTATAATTTTTAATTGAAATATAAAAAAAAACATAACATTTATTTCATGAAAAACAATGTTATTCTTTTTAATATATATATATATATATATATATATATATATATAAACTAACATGATTAAGTACTTTTTAGGTCGTATCAGTTATTATACAATATCTTTTGTTTAATTTTAAATAACATGTTCATGCACGAAGAGATGTTACTTAATTTTAAAACTAAAATGACCAAATTTGTAATGAAAAAAAATGTGAACTAAAATTACACAATTATAAAATTATAAGATGAATTAATTTAAGCATTTTTTTAAGTGTCACGAATTCATTTGATTATATGATTGTTCCAATAACTGTCTACACCATGCAGAATTCATCATATATATATTCAAAGTTTTACATACAAGGTTTACATTGTTTTAGGCATGTCTCATAATGCTAGTTGTTAGCTAGGAGGCAAAATATTAATTTTCAAATGGTTTTGAACGACAACATCATTGTGAAGAAGTTTAGGGTTTTCCATTTTAATTACGAGATACACAATCAAAGGCTTCCGATAAATTCAATAAAATACTTGTAGTACACACACAAAAAATACTATAGTAAAAAGTTGTAAATTTGAATTCTAAAATATTGCAGTTATATAAGTTAACTCTAAAAATATTTCTTGACTAATTTGAGTCGTCTACCTTTCACCTCATCATACTCATAAATTATAATTAATCATTTAAAAATAATAAATTGTTGCAATGATGAGGAAGATTGAAGAGATAGAGATTTGTAGATTGAAAGGGAGAGAAGAGAAGCATAATGGTGGTGAGTGGGGACAATATAGCACTGTTGGCATTTGGATTTGAGAGACACAAAAACCAACCACACTTTCAAAACATTAACTCATGGCAGTAGTAGATTATTATTGTCATGATCATGGTGTCGTGGCCCTTTGTCCTTTAAAGCCAAAAGAACCCAATCCCCAATGCACAGTGTTTTCTATAAGTACCTCTAGCCTTAGCCCTACATATTTTGTCCTCATGCTTCCCTCTGCCATGTCAGAGTCTTGTTTCATCATATTTCGGATTACCCCAACTTAACTTTCATAACCCTGACACAACCTACTAACCTACTCCTTTCTGCTAATCTTTTCCTTTTGTTTTTCCCAACAACATTTCTCATACTATTATCATTGTTAAACTCTTTCTTTTCAATTATTTATAACACTTAAACTCAATCAAGCACCACAACGAAGAAAATTTTAAATTGTTCTTGTGTTCCTATTATTTCATTTCACAGTGCAACTTCCAATGCTACGTGGTCCTGAGATCAGATGTTGCCATTTCAATTCACGTTATTTTCTGACTATTCCCATTTACCCACTCTCTTTTCGATAACGAGTTGGTGCCTTCAATTCAATCAGCCTCTGATCATAAATACTTATATTTCTTGATGTTTTCGAGACTTGGCACAATTCGAAGATATACCCCAAAATCAAAAGAAAAAACTGCATGGGCCTCGGGTTGTTCAATATGCTACGTCAATTACTGATGTGACCTAATATAAAACAACAGTATTCTTTCTTTCTTTTTTTTTTTCTTTTTCTTTTATCTAGTCTCAAAAATTATATAATATTATATTACA